ATTATTCATTTAGAATTTATATATTTAAGTTTGACTTTTTTGTGCATTTGAAATCCTTTTGGAAAAAACAGCTTAAACCAGTCTGATCCTGGTCTGTTTTGCTGGTTTTTGAGAGATTTTACCCATGTGTCAGCTTATCAGCTCAAGAAACCTACATCTATAGCAGGTAAACCAGCTGAAGACCAGCTTGGCCTGGCTTTGAGACCTGCTAGCCCAGCCAAACCAGCTAAGACCAGCAAGCATCCCTATTCTGGTTAAGCTGTATTTTTCAGCAGGGAAATTGTACTCCTTTCATGAAATGACTCTGGCTTTTCCTTTCAGTTGATTTGCTTACATTTTGTTGGAGCCATGTAGCGAATCAGCTCATGGGGAAATATGAATAATCAAAGAAAGGTTTTCCTATGAATTAATTAGTAGAAAAGTCCATTTCTACTGTGCATTGTGTCTCTTCCTTAAGAAAAAGGCAGTGATTTTCCCTACTTACATTCCATTAGGTCGTAAATGTATCTGGTGTCAGGGTTGCCATGGTAACCAGGGGGGGCCTGGTGTCGTTGCAGACATCCTGGCATCCAGTTTATTGGGTGAGGGGACTGTGACGATTTGTTAATCTAACGAATAACTGATTTGTTAAATCAAATGAAAAATTGTGTGTTTGATTGGTCCAGACGCTACAAATTCAGCCATGTTGCTGAATAATATATAATACTGTAAGCAGATAATTCTGGGAAGAGTAAAGCCTCTACAATAAGAGTGATCCAGGCCTAGCTACACAAAGAGTCTTTTCAGCAGAACATTTTCTGGCCCTCTTGTCCTGTACTGAATGAATGTAATGAATACTTTGTAAGGATGGTTTTTCATTAGTACTGAATGTACACTTTCAATCATAATACCCAGTTAAGACATTACTCAAGTGCCCTTATCAAAGTAAAAGGTTCAAGTTCATAGTTCGTTTTTTAGAGAGAATGTTAATCTCAGCATTCTCTACAGTATACACTATGAGAACCAGATGCTCATACCCACTGCTGCCCATTGTATCCTTTTTTTTCCTTGTGTTGGGTCTACGAAGAGTCTGGCACAATTACAAATGATTTGTATGGACAAGTTCACAAGCTCCTGTCCCACTGGACTGGATGCTGTTATCAATGGAGAGCAGAGGATTATTAGTGTCCGTGCCACTTACACAGTGTGCAGAGACTAAAGGGCATGACCACTGCCAGGACAGGGGTCCCGATCTCTGTCTGTCCTCGAGACCTTCAGCTGTGATCCACGCTGGCATAGACATGAGTCAGTGTCACCTCTGTGAATACATGAAATTCATGAATGAAACATTAGAGTGCTACAATAGTGCATCACAATTTATTCAAATACAAGGTTCAAGATTTTACGTTTTTAATTTAGTATTAAATAAGTAATTATATTATAAATAGCAATTATATTATAATTAGTAACATGTTTTTGAAAGAAGTCTCTTATGTCCACCAATGCTGAATTGATTCAATCAAAAATACACTAAAAACAGTGATATTGTGAATTATTAATGTAAGTTAAATAACACTTTTCTACAGTAATATATTGTAAAATGTAATTTATTTCTGTGATGACAAAGCTGACATTTCCACAGCCATAACTCCAGTCTTCAGAGTCACATGATCATTCAGAAATCATACTAATAAGTTGATTTGGTGCTCAAAAAACATTTCTTATTTTTTTGAAAACCATTGTGCTGCTTAATGTTTTTGCGGAAACAGTGATTTTTTTAGGATTGTTTGATGAATAGAAAGTTCAAAACAACGGTATTTATTTGAAATAGAATTTGTTTTACATTAAAAGTAAACAGTAAAAGTAAAACTATAGTCAGTAAAACTTTAGTAAAAGTCACTTTTTACCAGTTTAATTAATCCTTGATGAATTAAATTATGAATTTCTAAATAAATCTCACTGACCCCAAACTTTTGAATGGTAGTCTGTGTTGAGTTAAGTATTATCTGAAAAAAAAAAAGACAATTAAACATTAATAAATAAAAAAAATCATATAGTGGTGCAGCAGTCTCAGTGAACAGCTACACAAAAAACAAAAACATAAAAAGAAGAAAATGTGTATAATATTTGTGATCAGAATTTGCCATTCCGAAATAAATGCTAATTATTTCACAGACATACAAATATACAAAGGAAAATATACAGGCCTGTTCATATTTAGTTAAGATACTAGTTTGATTGTTGCCACAAATCAAACAATTTGATTTGAAAAAAAATAAAAATATATATATATATATATATGTTATGGCACTAACCTGACAAACGCTTGCAAACCCAGTGATTAGTTCCTGCTCACAAGTGCTTGCTGATTCATCCCGGTACTTTGTAAACACGACTTGATTTCCAGGCAGACTGATGAAAAAAACATGTCCCTCCCAACTCCCAGAGGTTGTGTAAAGTCAGCCAATCATATAAGAGCTTAAAGTCAGATCGAAAAAGTGCTTTTCAGTTCTGTGTGCAATATGTATCAGATAATCAGACTGTGGCCTATATATATAGAGTCCTGTATATCAGTAATGTTTATCTTTTATACAGACATGTAACATTCGTTATGATGTTTTATGTTATGCAAAAACGTATATATGCTGTTTGCATAAATTTTCAATCCCCATGCTGCATAATTTCTAAATTTACATAGATAGGAAACAATTGCCATAATGATGACAAAGTTCCCTCACAATTGGCCTCTACCTGTGAATCATTAAAATAACTTCCACACTCTCTGGAGAGGAACCCCACAGTTAAGGAACCATCATTCTAAAGGACTTCTGTGAAAATAAAGACTAGAGAATATTTCAAAAATACTACTGTGGAAGTTAAAATAAGTGCATAAATTAGAATAAAAGTGTGCAATATAATATCCGAGAGTTTGAATGTCCCAGTGGACATTGCTGGTTCAATTATCAGGATGTGGAAGATACATCAAACCACCCAGACACTTCCTTGAAAAGGTCGTACCTCAAAACTCTCTGTGCGAACATAAAGGACACCAGTGAGAGAAGCCAGAGAGAGCATATCGATCACTTTGAAGAGGCTGCAGGGTTCAGGAGCTGAGGACAGAGTAAAAGTGCACAACACTGATGTACATTGTGGCACAAATAGGGAACAAATGTCCATTAAACAAAAAAAATGTGAAGTTTATGGATGTATAAAAAATAGTTCACCCACAAATCAGAATTTACTTAGGATTTATCCTCAGGCCATCCAAGATGTAGATGACTTTGTTTCTTCATCAGACCAGAAATTTAGCATTAAATTACTTGCTCACCAATGGATCCACTGCAGTGAATGGGTGCCATCAGAATGAAAGTCCAAACAGCTGATAAAAACATTAATGTCTTATGAAGAGAGGCATGTTTGTAAGAAACAAATCCGTTAACTATTCCTTTAACTAATATTAATGCTAGCACACATGACTTTGTGGTAAGACTTCAGCCAAAATTCAAAACTATTTGGGAAATGCAAATTTAACACTGCCCACCATCAAACATTATCATATACCAACTGTGAAGTAGCATCGTTTGACTCGCCTCAACAACCAAAAAGAATAGATTAAAAACATACCTGAACTGTGTGGGAAGCTGGTACATACTTACTCCAATAGACTTAAAGCTGGCACTGCTGCAAAAGATGCCTCTGCAGAATATTAAAATCTGTGGAATGTTAAAGTAATACATGTAGAGTTTTAGAAATTATCACAGAAAACCAAATTTCAGTGTGGGAAAGTGAGAACTGGTTAAGGGTCTAAATATTTTTACAAGGCACAGTGGGCTATATGGGTTTAAAACTTAATATTTTATGGCCTTTTGGGATCCATGTATTATTCAGCAGGTAGAGTAGTGTATTTCATCACAGACATCCATTGTAGGACTATCACATATTAATCTGGGCTATCTCCACTGACAAGTATGCACTGAACGGTATGGTCTCAACTTATATCTGTTGTTGTTCACTGGTTAGATACTGTCTGATTGAATTATTAATGATTAGTAATTATAAGCTGATCTCACAAATGTAAAGTCCCGCAATACCAAAGATATCTTTATGCATGCTAAGATCAAACTAATTATTGCTAACAAAAATTATTTCTAATAAGGGGCCATTTAATTCAATATGAAATGTTTTTAAATCTGGATGAATGAATGAATTTAGAATAATAGAAAAATGGGGAAGGACTTTTTAAAAGAAATTAATACTTTTATTCAGCAAGCATGCATTAAATTGATCAAGAGTGACAGTAAAGAAATACAAACTACTGTTTTCAACGCTGAGAGATCTTTTGAGCGCTGAATCTGAAGAATTATTAGACACTGAAGACTGGAGTAATGGCTGCTGAAAATTCAGCTTTGCAGCAATAAATAATATTTAAAAATGTTCAATTGCAATAATATTTCACAATATTAGATTTACAGTATTTTGATCAAATAAATAACCATAAGAGGTTAACTGAGGTGTCTTTACACGGCCAAGTTAAGGCTACCCTGTGCCTGCTCAAAATTCTGTGTAAAGACCTGCTCTGACCCACATCAGTTCCTAATATCAACATACTTTACAGAGGTGCAACTGTTGTGTAAAATAGTTTATGCCACCTCTGAGCAGCATTAAATAGTCTTTGAAAAGCACCTAATACCATCTCAGAAGCACTCCTGTGCCACCTTTGCAGTATAAATTTGGCATAAGAGACTTCATAGAGCATAAGAAACTTCTTTCAAAAGCATTAAAAATTCTTACCAATCCCAACCTTTTGAACTGTAGTGTACAAATTAGCCAGCAGGTTGGAGGGGTGGATTGAAAAGGGAGAAAGATTTGTGACATGGAGCAAGCACTTATACTGTTTTAATTTGGAATAGAATGCATTTATATATAAAAATAGAGTCAGTTTGATTTCATGTTGACTGTGTCAACTGTGATGTCTTACCTGTAACATTCTCTCACCGCATTGTATTTCTCTGTCTCCCCAGCCTTCGCCCTGTGAATGGTGTCGCTGCGAGCCAAATAATGAGGTGCATTGTGTGGTCGCTGACTGTGCAGTACCAGAGTGTGTCAACCCAGTGTATGAGCCAGAACAGTGCTGCCCCATCTGTAAAAACGGTAAGAACGGCCTATTTCCTATTATAGGTTTATGGAGAAGACGAAAATACCTGCAAGGTGTACTTTAGAGAATTCCTTAGAGGACTCTCTCTACAATCCCAAAGGAAAGCGAATTGTTCCGCTGACTGGCATGTATCAGTGTTCAAGAAATAGCAGTGAGGTGGATGTGAGAGTGTGGTATAAACAGACAGCTCCATGCACAGGTTGCTTAAAACCCACTCAAACTTTCTATTAGATTTCGGTGCCACCAGCTAGCGAGCTCTGATTACCAATCCTCTGCTCAATTACAGGGGAAATTTGGTTCAGATAAACAGTGTCCCATTGATTAAGACCATGCTAAGAAGGATTAAATGGCCAATGGGGACTCCTCTATCTCCTGTGTCTTGATGCACTAGTCAGGAAGGCCCGATTCCAAAATTACAATTATTGGATTCCAATGGCTCACTGGATGGCCAAGGGCAAGAGATATCCCTGAGTCAGTCCGATACAGAGGCACAAACACAAAGTGTAAGCTCAGTGAATCAGTGGGATAAAATGTTGATCGGCACAATGCTTATAGGCCAAGCAGCCTGACATAGATTTAACCCTTGTGTTGTGCTGAAAATCCTGTACTTATTTTGGTGTACCCAGTCAAAAATGACCAGCCTTTTAAAAATTGCTTCTAAATCTCTCATTATGCTATATTATCACCAAATCTTGGATTCAATCTTTTTGTCAACTTTTCTTTCAATTAGAACAGGTTTTGTATTACTATTTGGAACTGACTGTAGGCCTCATTGATCTGAGCTTATGCACTTCAGTTTTCAAGTGAACAAAAAGCATTATTTGTGGATAATTTTGGCAGTATTCACTCAATATCTGAGCATTGTAGGTTGTGGGAATGCTACAAATGTAATAGGGTTCAGAATACCAAAAAAGTTCAATGGAATAATATTAACTAGCAATTTTTGGAAAAGAAAAATCCATTACAAATGCAAATGCAAAATTTGTGAACTTGTGAACATGAAAATGTTAACATTATTTTTCTACGCTGATACTGTATAATAAAAAATATTAGATTTAATTTAGTGTTGGTTTTGAAAGAACAGCCGCTTTTACATAAGAAAGCTTTAAAGGTATAAAAATATATGAGAGTATCAGCTAACCTTTTTTTTGACATAATAGATTTTAACAAGATAAAACTGAATCAAGTTCGCAAATTGCAGCCGAGTTTCTCTCTTCAGTTTTAAAGAAATCTTGCCGCTCTTCGGAGCACCTCAGGAGACATGTTTGAAAATAGATTTGTAAAGAAAAATCATATCTAATCTTCTAAGTGCAACTTTAAAATCCCCTCCTTTTTCCCTTCTGGCACACACTGACCTACATTCTCCAGGATCCACATTACAATCAGAAGTGGGGTGTAAGGTATAGTTGCTAAATAGAGACCGACTGTGACTTTCTGCTTTACTAGCGCAGAAAGACAGCCAGAGATACGCACACACAGATACACAAACCTCGCCTACAGCCTGGAAGAGAACTAATCCAGGCAGACAGGGCACGGTGACGAGCTTGTGGTGCTGGCATTTTAGGGAGGCTGTGGTGGAGCCCGTCCCCTGGAGGAAATAACCAAGTCTGCTTCCAAGATCTTTAAAGGGGTCATTATCAGGAAGAATCACATTTTACTCGATACTTTGAGATAAAAGTGTTCAATGTATTACATATATAATAAAATATCCTTTCAGACCTTAAACCTTCTCCTCCAGTACTTCATTTACGTAATGTGTTTCTCATGCAAAGATGGCGTTTACATCAGGGTCAGGCAAAATTCAGAAATGAAGATTTGGCTCTTTTTCAACTCATGAACTGGTGTTTAAATTGAATTGGTTAAATCCTACAGGAAGTTGAGATGGAATAACAGGAAAGGGAATTTAGCAAATTGTAAATCAAAGAAATATAAAAGTAATGCATTCTGGAAAAGAAGCATTTTTGCACTCTGGTCCAAAAAAATTAATTAAAAGTTAAAAATTTTGGTAATTGAAAAAAGAAAAGAAATTTATATAATTATTCAGTAGGGACACATTAAACTGGCCAATAATGAGCATCAAATCAGCAATGATTTACAATGATTTTTAAATCATTCAATTTTAAATCATTCAATTCCGGTGACACTTAAGACCGGAAATATAGCTGTTGAAAACTCAGCTTATCACATGAATAAATTACATTTTTAAAACTTATAAACAAGGAAAACAGGCTTATTAAATTGTAAATATATTTCATAATATTGCTATTTTTACTGTATTCTTGATCAAATAAATGCAACCTTATTAAGCATAAGAGACTTCTTTCTTTTTACATTTACCTGTTTGCTATCTCAATATAATACAATAAAAAAAAGCATTTCCAATTCAATTCTGGATGACATAACAGCCTGTTTAATTTTAAGGGTCACAAAAATATATTCTGACTGTTTTTGATACTTTACTAATTGTTATAAGTGGGCCTCAGGGAGAAAAATTAAATAATAATAGCAATAACAAAATTGATATGAGCACTTCTAAACTGAGCTGTTCTAAACAGTCTGTCATGTAATCTCTCTCAGATTGTTTCACATGGACAAACTGAGATGGTAAATGTCAAGAGACACTTATCCCAGCATTGACGGAGCTGGCAGAGGATCAACAATGACACTGGGAATGCCAAGTCTCAGTCAACCAAAAGTCAGACATGACTGCATCGTTTTTTTATAGCACAATTCTCGACTTCCACAAACATATAGCTCACATCTGACTCTCGTATGTCGTCAAAATGAAAGAAGCCTGGGAAGTATCACTTTGTTTTGAAGCCTCTCTTAATGAACCTCGCAGGAATGCAGTACTTTCTTTGCTGAAGTGAATTTGAACCTCAAAAACTCAAAAATAGCCTTAAGAAAAAGTGATGTGCTGGCTTCCTACTGATGCTAATTACCAAATTATGCCTCTAAACATTGGCACATGATGCAGCCTTTTAAAACCCATGTTAACAAGAACTTTGACCAGCAGTACTAAGCTCAGTTTGTGCACTGCTGGAAAGACAACTGGCCATGTTTCTATGTGGGTGAGCCAATCGTGGGCAACCATCTCTCAGTAGCTTCAGTGGTTACCATAGTAATTGCTTGCTTGTAGGTTGCAGGCTAATCTGAGGGCAATGACGTGGGCCTCCACTGCAACAGAGTAACTTCACCTATGATGATGACTATGATCTGAAACATGCTGTAATATATAGTTTGTATGCACTGCATGCTTCAATGTGAAGGAGCTACAGTTCACTGTTTTGGCTGTAGTCACATACGTTTTTCAGTGCATTGTTTGCAATTAATAAATCTACATATGGAATCCATCTCAGCAAGTGCTCTGAGATTTGTTCACTTTAAGCTCATTGTTTGGTTCTCTTCTTGTGTCCATTGTAAAAGCAAAAGTGCTCCAGGTTCACTTTGTGTTCACACCTTTGCCACCATTAGTTACTATAAAAAGACTCAAGAGTTTAACTGGACTGCATTGCTATGTGAAAGAGAAAATATTTGACAATTGCAGCTTAAGTGAACCAAGGAAAGGTACAACCAAGGCTGACTGCAAATAGAACTGGTCTTTTTTACTCTGTTCACTTTTGGGACCTTCTGTGAAGACCCTGAAGAGACTTTGTTTAAAGATAGAAGTAATCACTTTCGTGGTTTTTGCCATTCAACGTTAGAGCTGCATTTTCAATGTAATTTTATGCCTTCTGTTCTTTTAGCCTTGATATCTGAGATTAAAGAAACACAAGATTTCAAATGTTTATCATATTATTCAAATCTCAATCAGTGTTTCAAAATAATACAATATTTTTTTTTTTACCCAGACTTCAACAGAAAGAATGTAAAGTGATCCAAATCTTACAGTATTGAAGATAAGCACTTCCTGGTTTTCCACACTCCATAATGTTATAGGTCTTGTTATTGTTAAAATTAAACTAGTAAAAATAAGTAGAAGTAATACAAAGTAAATGTACTAAATCTAAAACTGATATAAAAACAAAGATATTTTTTAAAAAATAATGACAAAAGCACATCGCATAATTACTAAAAAATTTAAATAAAGGTCAAATGAAAACTGAAAATTACAAATATTAATGGTATATATTAATAATATAGCATAATAGTATTTTTTATAATAATAGCACTTATGTAATATTACTACTATATAAGTAATAAAGTAACACCCTATGGGACATAAGTTGTTTAAAGCAATGGTTCACCCAAAAACTACAATTTCTGAAAATGTACTCACTCTCAGGCCATCCAAGATGTAGATGAGTTTATTTCTTCATCATAAGGATTTGGAGAAATATAGCATTACATCACTTGCTCACCAATGGGTCCTCTGCAGTGAATGGGTGCCGTCAGAATGAGAGTCCAAACAGGATGTATAATGAATAGTTCACCCACAAATCAAAATTTGCTTAAGATTTACCTGCAGCCCATCCAAGATATAGATGAGTTTGTTTCTTCATGAGAACAGAAATTTAGCATTACATCACTTGCTCACCAGTGGCTCCACAGCAGTGAATGGGTGCCATCAGAATGAAAGTCCTAACTGCTGATAAAAAACATCACAATAATCCACAAGTAATCCACACAACTCCAGTCCATCAATTAAACTCTTGTGAAGTGAAAATATGCATGTTTTAAATAAGCAAATGCATGAAGGCATTTTAAAATTCAAACCGTTGCTTCTGGCTAAAAAACGAGTCCTCTTTCCATAATATTGCTTTCACATTCTAATCCTTTAACTGACAATCATTAACTAATAAAAAACACATCTTACAACCTTATCACTTACAATGTGCAATGATGTTGTAATCAAGGACTTGATCTTCTTAATAAACCAGTAGTCTTAAAACAGATGTCTGGGTCATTAAGGAATGGCATCAAGCACGATCTTATCCGTTATCTGTTTGGTACCTGTCCACCTGGCCAAGGTGTCCTTGCACTAGTGACGCTCTTT